TCTGGGTAAAGACAAAGACAAAGTTGTTGTTGAGCTACATTCTTTGTCTAACATGTTGCCTGTGCAGTGTTTTGAGAGAACGCAACTTTCCACATTGAAACAAAGCTATACAAACAAAATCTAAGACATGAAAAGTCAGGTGCCAGAAAAATGCCCCTTACAAAGACTTTCCTGTCCCTCCCTTCCAGTCTCTGGGAATGTGTACCTCTTTTTTGGTTTATGTTAAGTGGTATAATGTTTTCCCACAGAAAGACCTCTGTCCCCCCGAGGTACACAGTGAGGCTTAAACCACCTCACCCTTCTCTGATATAACTTCATTGGCACAGAATAGAGCTTTCACCTCTTTCCAGTCTTCTTACCCAAAAGTCCTAGGATAAGCTGGAACCACTGTGGGTGGCATTCATGTCTAGATGATTCCCACTGGCAACACCAGGTAGATACAGCAGTTGCAGCCTGAAAGGAGAAAAACCCAGTCTTCCCCTAAAAGTAACACACAGGGACCCCACCCTCAACACTCGCCCCACACACACACCCTGAAAACAAATCTGTAACAACAAAGAAAAACGTAGCTACTTGGAGGTGTGAAAAGCTCTTGGCATTTGCTATTCCTTCTGCTTGCAGTGCATGTAAAAAGCTTTCTACAGGGGTGAAACTGTACTTTCCTAACCAGCCCTCACCACTTGGACCCCACTCTGTTTGAATTTTCTTCCCTAGCCCATTTTTCCTTTCAGTATTCCTCTTTCTGCAGACAGCACCACTGTAGATTACTTCACTGACTCTTCCTTTCTCCCTCCTCTGCTTCTCTGCCATCCCCTATGTGTTGGAAATGTTCTAGACTCAGCTCAGGGGATACAGTAGAAAACCCCTTTTAATATGGAGTTTCTATTGTGTGTGTGTGGTGGTGGGGATTAGGGAATGTTGGGGGGAAATGGAAGGAAAAACCCAAACATGATATGTGAACTAGGGATAGGGAAGAAGTAGACAGATGGAAATTCTTTATGGGGATTAAAACTGAGTTGAAACCTGAGTTACAGGGAAATTCAGTCAAGGGAAGGAATTTCAGACAGAGAACAAGACTGTGCAGAGACCTCGCAGTGAGAACCAAAGTAGCATTTCAAGGAACTGAAAGGAAGCCAGTGGTTAGAGCTTGGAGAACCAGAGTGGGAGGGTGAGACATGATGAGGGCAGAGTTTTTATGTGGCCTGGGTGAAAATGAAGGAATTTGAATTTTATTCTAAATGTAATGGGAAGCCAGGTCTTAGCAAACTAATGAATTGTTCATTCGGAACATTGACTAGCCATTGTTTATTTCCTCTGTATTCTCCATAGGCTGTTCCTATCAAGTGTTCATAACTGTGGGGCCTACATAAAAGATGTTATGTGAGGGAATTGGAGACACACAAGAACAGTGACAAATGTGGGCCTCCCCTGGTGGCGCAGAGGGTTGAGTGCAGTGCTGTGAAGCTCTCCACAGCCTCTGCAGCGTGGGTTTGATTCCCGGCCGGCCAGGGAGATACCCACATGGCACAGCAGACCTCTCCTGCCTCGCCCACTGCTCCCCTCAGCAGTGTATTTCAGTGGATCTGCCTGTTCTGCTCCCCACTCTGTCTCTGGTGAATCCTCTCACCCTCCCACACCTCTGACCTGTACCCCAGTTCTTGTATAAATAAATAAATCTCAAAAAAAAAAAAAAGAGTATATCAGGTCTTTTAAAGGGCCTCCCTGGTGGTGCAAGGGTTGAGCACCGCACTGTGAGGCAATCCGCAGCCTCTGCAGCACTAGCTAATCCCCCGGCCGGCCAGGAAGAAACCCACGTGGCAAAGCAGACCTCTCCTGTCTTGCCCGCTGCTCCCCTCAGCAGTGTCTTCAGTCCATCTGCCTGTTCTGCTCCCCACTCTGTCTCTGATGAAACCTCTCACCCTCCCATGCCCCTGACTTGCATAAATAGATAAATAAATAGATACAGTTCTTGTATAAATAGATAAATCTTAAAAAAAAAAAAGTGACAAATGTGAGACCTGCTGCCTCACTCTATATCTTTTTTCCTTTCCCCTCATCATCTTTCTGCCGTCTTAAAGTTAACCCTGTCCTACATACTTATGCCATCCATTATGTTTACTGATACAGTCATCATTTGCTTTTGGATTTTCACTGTCATGACCCCTTTATGTTAACATAGGTGATTTTTAAAAATCTGTTCATTCTTCTGTATGTCTGTGTAAGTTGTTAGATCAAGAAAAACTGTTAAATTCTAACTAAAAAAATCCCATTCATTACAGAACGGTGATTCACAGCAATGCTGCAGCCCAAGTACTGGGGAGACCTGCAAGGGATAGCACATGTCCACATGTCTTCTGCAGTTCTAATATATTAAGTACATTTTGCCATCAGGACTAATTATTTTCCAACTGTCTTTGACACAGCCCCAAAGGTTTACCAGAGATGAAATATAATCTCAAATAACAGTGCCGGTTAATAAGCATTTCTCAGCAAAATCATTGTAGTTTGAATAAAAATATCGAAGTGGCTCATGTGATTTAAAATTATCCAATTTTATATCATGTTACTGTAACTCACAGCACATCACGGTATGTATAAAAATCACACCATAATCACCTCCAATTAGAATGCCTCTCTACCCAAATTAAGCTCCCGAATAAATAAATTCTCCCAAATTAGAAAGGTATCCAAGGGAAATGAAAGCAATCATATCATTAGATTAATCCTATTTGTGTTCTATGGTTGCACTGCTGTATTCTCATCATTTTTTCCCTTAAAACAAGTTTTTAAAAATGCGCAATTCAAATGTTTCCATTTAAGAAATACAACAAAACCAGTTATGAATTTCATACTTCTAGGACTCCACAATGATGTAAATATGAGTGTGAGTGTGTTCGACACCATTTGCCACATCAGAAAAATTCATCCATCTACAGAAGGGAAAATGACCAAAGTCTTCTCGGAATGCCTCAGCACAGCAGGTGCCTTTATTTGAACTGATAAGTCAATGCAAATACACTCAGTCACAGTAGGGGCCTTCTTAGGTCTGACTAGAAAGGCTGAAAGGCGAGCAGACTATTAGAGACCTTCACCTCCTGGGAACATTGTTCCTTCCTTTGCTGGCCCCTTGCTTAGGACAAAGTGAGCCACTTCAGCTTTGGTGTGAAACTGTCAGCTGTCCTAATCAAGGACAATGTACAAAAATTAAGACTTTAGGAAGAAGGGACAAAAGAGAGGAAGATCTAGAAGTGGGTGGGGATAAAAAGGCAGAACTGAGCCTGCATCTGCACGTGTCCAAGGTCTGCAGACTCTAGCTAGGATCCACGGGAGAAGACATCTTAGTGTGTAGAGAAATTAGACAAGGCAAAGATGGCCTTCACCATCCAAAATGAAGGCATCAGGGGAGGGTCTTCTGCATGCAATAGATAACTGAATTAGAAAGAGCAGAAATGTAAACCAGCAACGATTCCCTGGCTAGCTTAGATGCAGCTCTCCTGTCATTGGATAAATCATTTTCATGAGGAGATCCAATCAATAATGTAACCAAACTGTAGTGAGGATCTAGGTCTAGGTTCAGATCTCAAATATGGAGGTGCACGAATTACTGGGAGAGGAGAGGCGGAGGAGTAGAATCTGAACATCGCAACAGGCCAGCTGGTAGCTCTGTCCACTTTGACATTCCAGGGAGATAGAGAACAGCTCAATGTAACAACACAACACAGAATACTGATGCCTGAGTGTCCAGAGAGACCAACATGATAATGAGTTGCTACCATCTTAGTTTACAGAGACAATATTTAGTCCAAGTTACAATCAGATTTTACATAAGAGGATGTGACGACACAGATATTTATAAAATGAAGGGGATTAAGAAAAACATGCAGGGCTAGAAGTCAGAAGAGTGATGGTTCAGTCCTGGCTTTGCTACTGTTTAGGTCTGTGGACCTGAAGAGGACATTTAACATCTCTGAGCTTCAGTTTGCTCATCTGTAAAGGGTGGAGATGAACTCCATGTCCTCCCTCTATTCTTGGGCAGATCCCAACACAGAAGATCACTATGGGAATTGGAAAAAAAAAAAAGGGAGACTTGGCACCGAAACAAACTGGACTGCTGCTGGGACTCTAATCACCCCTCCTCACAGAGGGACTTGTTGAATCTCGTCCAAGGACATTTATTGTAATTTTTGAGAAAGGTAATTTTCAGATGCTAGTCTTGGGTCAGGAGTCTTGGGTCATTTCTGGTTTAAATGAACACTTCTTATTTTTGGTGAGGCGAAAGCTGAGCTGCAGACCCTTCGAATGTTACAATGAAAAATCAGCTTTTACTCTAACACTGATTAGCCTGGAACAGCTGCTTCATAGATGTCAGCCCTTGCCTCACCTCATACTTTTTAAAATGTATCGCTAGTATCTTAATCCAAAATACACTTGAGTTCTGTATACTTCTTACAGGAGAGAAAAGAACTAATATGTGCTCATTATCCCCTATGGATCAAGCATATTCTGTCATTTCATCCTCAAGGCAACTTTAAAAGGTGGCTATCACAGTCCCAGTTTTACAAGTGAAGAAACTATGACTCAGTGATGGGTAAGACTTGCTCAAATTCACACCATGAGGACATGGCAGAGATCTGAAGCAAGAAGTCAGGTCTTCTGACTTCACTGTCCATGACTTTTCTACTATGACATCATGCCACCTAGAAGAAAATGAAATGAGGGTGAATAGTTACCAGCAAAGTTAGGGGAAAAGAACAGACGATTAATAACGAGCTCACCTATTTTTGTCACTCTGCAGTGTCCAATTTTCAGTGAATCAGAATATGATTGTGAAATCGTCAACATTTAAATCACTACTGAACATAAACAATCTGGCTTAGACGATTCAGAGGTGCTTCCAGATCTTGCCATGCCTGAAAGTTCTCGCTAATGACGCAGATTATCAGTGCACTACAGGTGTGTGGAAAAGAAAGTGTTGGGGAACAGAAGCCAGATCACCTGCCTCCAAGATGCCAGGCATTGCACGGCTTTTATCAGCTTTTATTACACCAGGTCAAGGAAACAAATGGAATCTATCAACAGGGTCTTGCCATCTTGGACATATACTCTAAACATATATCCACTGTCATGCCCAGCGAGACAGAAATCATTCAAAAAGATCTCAATTTTCATCAAATTAAAACCCTACAACCGTCGTATCACTGCGCACAATATATTTTTACAGTCACAAACTCTATCACAAAGCAGAGTTGGAAACAACTGGAGAATATAACCGGTATTTAAATGCCCCTTGGCTGTGTAGAGCTGACCACGTGAGGCAGTGTGGCTGTGTGGGGGGAGGGGGCCGCTGCCCTGGCCAGAGGGCCAGCAAAGCCAGGCTTCTTGACTTCAGTGAGCCTCGGCTGTCCCAGTGCCCACACCCCTAGAACCTTGGACACTCAGATGTCTGCCAGCAACCACGTCCGAAACAAACGAACTCGACACTGGAATCTCCACGAAGTGGCCGATTTCACCAAGGCATTTCTCAGCACACTAGAGCAGACTGGGGTGAAAGTTGTACCGGAGGCTGGAGAAAAGGCCGATGTGTTTCACGAGGTTGGGCTCCACCACATAGGCCCGTTCCCCCTTGGCCTTCAACAGTGAGTACAGTGCCGTGTCCTTGCCAAAGCCCTTGTGGCAGTACACCTGGGACAGGTAGGTGAGGGTCCGGCGGGCTGCAGAGGCCGGGAAGAGCATGGCCGGGGTGCAGCACTCGGAGGCGGGGACCACGCTGTACAAGGAGGGACTCAGGCGTCGCAGCTCCAGGAAATAGTGCCGGCCCACCAGTTCGACCAGCCCCATGCTGTAGAGGGAGAAGAAGAGCATGACCGGCCAGCTGAACCCTGGCCGGCTGGCAAACCGCATGTATATCCAGGTGAGCAAGGGCCCCAGCAACATGCCCACACCGACCCACTCCAGGATCCGCATGGGCTCGGGGTTGACGTAGTGCTGCAGCCGCTCGGGGTGATAGAGCTTTAAATACAGGGCATCTTTGAGGTGTGGCTCAGAGAAGCGAGCCCGAAGAAGGTGCTCCAATACTGGGAAGATCTGCTCTTCTGGAACGGCATCGTCTTCCACCATCAGAACATAGTCCGGGTTGTAAGTCTGCAGGGAGGATTCCAGGCAATAGACATAGTCCTGCTTCTCTTTCTCAAATGAGTTGGTGGAAGGGTCGTCGCCATAATCGTCCTCAGTGCCCTCGTAGCGGTTGGCCACAGGGACGTACTTGGACAGCAGCTTGGCATCAAAATGGCTCACACTACGCTCCACATTGCACAGGAAGAGCTGGTGCCCCTCGCACTGGGGGCCGCACTGCTGAAGGAGCCGGTGGAACTGGGACACCACCTGCAAGACGTAGTGGAAGCCAGGCTGCCTGTCCACAGTGATGATGGTGATGACCAGCCAGGGGCGGGGGGTGGCCTGCCAGACAATGGGCACCGAGCCATTGGCAGAGGGCAGCTCCTCAAAGTAGTGGAGGGCAGCCTCACCCTCTTTCAAGCTCTGCTGCAGGAACTCCTGGCTCATTTGGTTCAGATGCCAATGGCGCAGGTAGAAGTAAGAGTGCAGAAGACGGTGACAGGCCAGAGGGGCCAGCAGGCCAAACGTCACCACTGTTAAGATAAAGAGCTGGACGGCAGTGCTGCCCCAGGAGAGCCGCCTCAGCCTCCGGAGCAGCATGGCCGCTGGAGAGGTTGATGTACTCATGAGGTCAACTTCTGGTCAGGTCTGATCCCAAGAACAAAGCATCCTGGAATGCACATCAGTGTGAGTCAGACCTAAAGAGAAAGGAGATAGAGAATGGTCAAGAGGACTTAAAAAGCCCCAGGGACAGAGCTCAACACACTCCAGACCAGAAATTCTAACCCTGGCTGTGCAGCCAACTAGAGACTTGGAAGTATTTTCTCTAGTATACAATTCTTTGGTTGTATCTGTTCATGACCTCTGGGATTCTTTTATTACTTCTATGAGTAATGAAAACTTGGTGTATCTATCCAACAAAGTTTTCATGCCTGTTGGGCTTAGTTAGGTTTACAATGTACCAGAAAACTACCAGGTAGGTTAGAAGATCATTATTTCAATTCAACAGCAACATAGAGATGGGTTCTTAAAATAGATGCAAAATGGCAAGGCACAGAAGAAATACATATTCCAAATAAATTCCAACATAAGTGCAAGTAAATACTTGTTGAATAAACATGCATAGTAATTGCTAAAAACTTGTTTTTATCTGTACATCCCACGCAAGTCAAGAACTATTTAGCATTCCCTGAAATGTCTTTGTCAAGATCTTTCCTTCATATTTTTCTACTCTTTCTCTAATCTCTAATTTTTCTAACACCTACAGGTGCATAATAATTTAATCCTGGCTATAGTTCCATTTTATATTTTACAGAACAACTATAGGAACCAGTGAAAGCAATCTAGAGTCCTAGACTTTGGGGACAGAGGAACTATCTGAAGGAAGATCCATGAGTAGATTTTCGGCAAGGGTAAGCAGATATAAAGACAAAAGAGACAGGCTCTAAGCTGGTCCAGAAAGGCAAAAAGAGACGGTTCTGAGCACAGGCCCGAGGAGGGGCACCGCTGGTGTGAATCCCAGAGTGGACACTCGGTGGACAGTCACTTCACTTGTCCACTCTTGCGTCCTTACCTCTAAGACAGATAATGACATATCTATCTCATGGGGCTAATACAAGGAGTAAATGTGTTTCTGATCAAAATAACGCCAAGTAAAAATGCCATTAAAATACTTCCATATGTTCAAAGTAAGTGATCTGTTAAAGAGTAGGTAAACTTAATGAACTGAGGGCAAACAGACTAGCATCAAAAAACAGAATTAAAAGGACCAAGTCAGTATGATACCAATAAAGTCAATGTAAAATGAATGGTATCTATAGCTTAGCAGGTAAGCTCTTAACTAAGAAGCATCATAAAGTTTGTACTCATTTGGAAGAAAACTGCCTTTTTGAAAAGATGGCAAATGTACCAGTGCCAAGTCTCTCATATCCATGTTCTCTCCTTCTTACTGTGAAAAGGGACATTTGTGAAGTCATTTTAAAGTGAAGCTGGGAGCCATTACTGAGAAATTGCATTACCTGTCTCCTTTGAATTGGGCCAAAGAAGAAATAGAAAAGTATGTATTGCATGCTATAATTTGTGGAAAAAGGGGGGAAATATACACAAACATTCTAGGTTTTATAGATATATGTATGCATGTACATAGGCTATCTCTGGAAGGATATAAAAAAGAGACTGGTGACTTTGCCTTGGAAGAGGGGAACTAAGTAGCTTAGGTACTATTTGTAACTTTTGACTTAAAGGTACCGACTTATAGAAAATAAAAGTTTCAATATATTTAATGTAAATATCACCTTCCCACCATTTTTTTTAAAATATGTATAAATCATTTATTGAACAATATAACAGATTATATAAAACTGAAACAATTTATATCGTGATTTTTTCTGAGAAATAAATAGCATTTAAGTCTGAAGAGTAAAAGTTTCAGAAGGTAGTCCTATAAATAAAGTGACATATATGAGTGAATTATGAGGATCAATTTCATGTCTTGTGGAAAAAGACAGATATTAATGTAGCAAGATAAATATTTTGCCTTGCTTAGATCAAACAAAAAAATGTTTTGATGACAAAGAAAATACATTTATAATTGGTATAAATATGTTAAGTATTTATATGTTCCATTTTGCTTTAAATGAATCTTTCAAAGGTGAAACATTTGGTTTCAGTAACTGTTTCATAAAATCAAACACAGATTTCAGTTTTCTTCAGTCTCCTTGTAGAAGTACATATTAACACCAATAACTCACCTTTTGTTTGTTCAACTTATTTGAACTTGATTTCGCTTTTAAATCTCACATTACAAATACCTTTAGAAAGAAATGACTGTACAAACCAAACTTAATTAAAATGCCCTCTTTTATTTCTATACATGTTGGCATATCAGTCTTCATTTCCTAACTGTGAAGAACATTTTCTTTTTAAAAGAAAAAATTATTTAGGGCCTCCCCGGTGGCGCAGCAATTAAGCGCTGGGTTATGAAGCTGCCCGCAGCCTCTGCAGCGCTGGTTTGATCCCCGGCTGCTCCCCAGCCACCGGAGGAGGGTCCCACATGGTGCGCAGACCTCTCCTGCAGCCCGCTGCTCCCCTCAGCAGTGTACTTCGGTCCTTCTGCCTGCTCTGCTCCCCACTCTGGCTCTGATGAATTCTCTCACCCTCCCACGCTTCTGACTGTACCCAGTGCTTGTATGTATAAATAAATAAATAAATCATCTAAAAATAAATAAATAAATAAACTACATTAACTTAAAAAATTATTTATTTATGCATACAAGAACTGGGGGACAGGCCAGAGGTGTGGGTGGTGAGAGGATTCACCTGAGACAGAGTGGGGTATAGAACAAGCAGATCTACTGAAATACACTGCTAAGGGGAGCAGCAGGCAAGTCAGGAGAGATCTGCTGCGCCATGTGGGTAGCTCCCTGGCTGGGGATTGAACTCCTGCTGCAGTGGCCACGGATAGCCTCACAGGTTGCAGTTTAACCCTTTGCGCCACCAGGGAGGCCCTGAAGAACATTTTCTTTTTTTTCATGGAGTATAAACAATTGGCAAAACAATAGTGTATATATGACACTTCTGGTTGAGTTTTTGACCTTTTGGAGAGTGAAATTTTTTTTCACCCTCCATCAAACTACCCATGACCATACCTCAAGTACCTTCCTCTCTTCTCCCTTCCCCTGGTAACCATTATATTCTTTTTGCTGAGTTCAAGATGTATTCTTACTGTACCTTGCATGTGAATATTTCTTGGGTATTTATAGACCACAGCTGACTGAAACCATCTGACACCTTTTACTTTTTGACTGATGTCACTCAACATAATCATTTGAAGGTCCATCCACTTTGTCCCACCATTTCATCTTTCTTCACAGATGTGTACTATTCCATTGAGTATATATTCCACAATTTCTCTATCCATTTGTCTATTGAAGAGCACTTGGGTTGGTTCCATGATTTGGCAATTGTGAACAGTGCTGCTATATACACAGGTGTAGCTAGATCTTTTTGTAACAAGAGTTTTTATATTATTTGGATAAATACCTAATAGAGGTATTGTTGGATGCTCTGGAATTTTTTTTTTTTACCACAACCTCACCAACATTTATTAATTCCATTCTTTTTTATATGGGCCATTTTCACAGGGGTAAGGTGATATCTTAATGTGGTTTTAATTTGCATTTCCTTATAATTAGTAAAGTTGAACAATTTTTCATATGTCTATAGGCTTTCTGAATGTCTTCTTGAGAAAAGAAAACATAGGTCCTTGGTCCTAAACTTTTTTTTTTTTAATTGGGTTTTTGTTTGTTTCTTTGTTGTTGGATTACATAAGAACTCTGTAAAGTTTGGAGGCCAGACCTCTATCAGGTGCACTGTATGAAAATATTTTTGCTTTTTTGTTTTTGTGATGGTTTCTTTTGTGGTACAAAAGCTTTCACGTTTAATGTAGTCCCACTTGTCCCAAATACATCTTTGTGGTAGATGTCCTGTAGTGTGTCCCCTATATTTTCTTTCAAGTACTTCATGGTTTCAGTTTTTATATCTAGGTCTTTAATCCATTTTTTTAAAAAGATTTATTTATTTATTTATACAAGAACCGGAGTACAGGCCAGATGTGCCGGAGGGTGAGAGGATCTACCAGAGACAGAGTGGGGAACAGAAAAGGCTGACTGACTGAAACACACTGCTGAGGGGAGCAGTGGGCGAGACAGGAGAGGTCTGCCACACCATGTGGGACCCTCTTCCAGTGGCCAGGATGGAACTGGCGCTGCAGAGGCTGCAGACAGCTTCACAGCAGGGCGCTCAACCGCCTGTGTCACCAGGGGAGGCCCTTTAATCCATTTTTAATTAAATGGAATTCAATACATGTCTTGTTTCATTTTTTTCCTAGTGGGTATCCATGTTTCCTAGTACCATTTATTATTTTAGTGTATGTGCTGCCGAAGCGAGCACCCTAGCACCATTTATTAAAGAGACTACCTTTTATCTGTTGTATGGCCACAGTTCCTTTGTCAAAGATTCCCTGTCAATATTTGTTCGGATTTACCTCTACTGGCCTGAGTTTCTGTTTTTGCTCCAGTACCGTGTTGTTTTGATTACTGCTGCTGTGTAATATTGTTTGATGTCAGAAGTGTGATACCTCCATTTTTCTTTTCTCTGAGGATTGTTTTAGCTATTTGGGGCCTTTTGTGATTCTACATAATTTTGATAATTGTTCTTGAAAAAATCTGGTTTCCCAGTAATTTTATCTGTAACAGGAATATGTTAGATTCTCTGTTAGCCCTTGGTTTGGTTGCTGTTTTTTGTGAGAATATACTTTCATGGAATATGAAGTATATGGAGAATATACTTTGTTTCTTTTTTAAAATTTTATTTTTAAATTATGTTTACTTTTTTTTTTTTTTTTAAACAGAAGTCATTTTTTTTTTTAAAGATTTATTTATTTATTTATACAAGCACTGGGTACAGTCAGAAGCACAGGAGGGTGAGAGAATTCACCAGAGCCAGAGCGGGGAGCAGAGCAGGCAGAAGGACCAAGGTACACTGCTGAGGGGAGCAGTGGGTGGCAGGAGAGGTCTGCGCGCCATGTGGGACCCTCCTCCGGTGGCCGGGGAACAGCCGGGGATCGAACCAGCACTGCAGAGGCTGCGGGCAGCTTCGCAACCCAGCGCTCAACCGCTGCGCCACCGGGGAGGCCCTT